CGCTATCCAGCAATATAATTCGTTTAAAGTCTTAAAAAAGTGCGTTTTATTGAAGAGAAACAAATCCGATACAGTCCACTAAAAACGAGGAACATAATTCCTACAATTACGTTTTCCTTTGTACGTTTTGGTGTCATTTGCGTCCAAACAGAAGATGATCAGATAAAACAGCTAAAACAACAGTCGGGAGGAGAATCACATGCGAAAAAATCCAATTCTAACTTGTCTGGGAAGAAGCTATAAGACAGGTGAAAAATTGCAAGGAATCCTAGTAGACAAACAATCGACATTGAGTTCAATCCGAACTCCATTGTATGTGCAACAATAGAACAACTTTGTCAGAGTCAAGTAAACCGTCTCCTCACAGACACAATGCTTCATTGGACTGTCCAGTTTTTATTTTGCTGCGACGATATTTCACCTTGCTCTAATTTCATTTGAAATGGATCTAATAGTTCAGTCTAGTTTCAGTGTATTCGGAAAGTTGCAAAACATTTTCAGTCCATAATTTTTACTCGGAAAACTACCCAACATCTTTATTTTGGTTGTTTAAGTTCTCCCACGGGAAAAGCAACTTTCCCTCATAAAGTCCTGCATAATGACTTCAAACTTCGGTTTTATCTACTTAGCGCCACACTTCAAGCTTACTGTGCTCCAAGTTGATTTATTACCATGACGGAAATGGAGTTTGGCTGGTTTGGAAAAAATACTCACTCATTTTTGTTACTTTTATCCGCTCGCTGCTCTATGCAGTCGAATGAAAATATGCTTTAAATAATTGTGTCCTATCGGTTGCCACTTTGACTAACTGGAATGGAAATTGTTTTATATCATTTTTATCAGTAGGAGATTTTGTAGGAGTTCAAATCCACCAATCGGTACAAAAAAAAAACAGAAAACAGAGCATAACTGTTAAGCAAACAATGAAATTGCACGGTTTGATTGCTGAAGTTCTACAAATTTGAATTTCGCAATTACAATAAAAACATAGAATTGTGAATAATTTATCTGTTTTTGTTTGAGTTTTCGGTTCATATTTAAAAAATGTTTTTGAACCAGTATGATTTTAATAAAATTTGAAATGATATGGCTATAATTGAATAAAATTAATGCATTTTGCTCTTCGTAGATTTCCAAATACATACCGGATGGATTATTTGTTGGCATGTCTTCTACCTGCTGATTGTCTTGAATTTTCCAACATTATCTCTAATATTTTTAAATTTTATTCGTTATCAGAGCATGCATTGATGCAAGGCAAAATGATCGAATCTTTATTGTCCTTTCAATTGTTCAATTGTTTTCCCTTTTATTCTTAACATTCCAAATTAAAATCAAATCCTGGGTTCTTCAGTCATTTATTGTCTATTTATCAATTAAAAAAACGTTTCGGTGTTGATTGATATTGATAAATAGACAATAAATGACTGAAGAACCCAGGATTTGATTTTAATTTGGAATTGAAACACAGTCAGGAAAGTACGTACAAATTCTTAACATTGATTGTTTCATGTTTTTCTTCAAATTGATGTCTGCTTTAGCAGAAAGTCTCCGATCTGAATTTGCTGGAATTGACCGCAATTAAGATTCGATCTTAGATCCTTTCGAAATGTTTTGTTCGCTCACGTTTTTTATTCAAAATAGGGTTACGAATTGTTGGTTCGAGCTCTTATTCAGAATGTCCGATAACTAATAGGGCACAGCAAAAGACTGCACTGCTTATTAAAGGTTGACTTAGATTAAGTCATATGATGATATATCTTAAGTTACATAGAGTGTTAGACACTCTAACGATGTTGGCATTAATTATCCGTAGAATAAGTAGCAGTAAGAAGTATATAAACTTAGCTGAAAATAAATATGTTCCAACACCTGGCAATGATGGGCGGATCTAAGGGGGAGGTCATAGAGTCATGACCCCCCCTGCGTTGGGCTCATAGTTTCATAGGCAACAAAAGACTGAATTTCTACTACTTGACCCCCCTGACTCGAAAGCTGGATCCGCCCCCGCACTAATAGTGTTTAGTGAATTACCAGAGAAGCTCCTGAAGCAACTTGCAGACCTTTGAGGTAAGTGAAACACTAAAAATAGCAGAACCTTGGTGATCTATTGAAAAACCTACACAAAGTCAGCCCCAAATTACTGGGCAGCGCTATTGGACTATAGCCATTGCATAGCTGCGTAAAAGGCAGTCGCCCGGACCTTCAGGTTGCTCACTCACTCC